TGGCTAACGTTGGCCCGTCTGCGGCAGCCAGTGGCTAACGTTGGCCCGTCTGCGGCAGCCAGTGGCTAACGTTGGCCCGTCTGCGGCAGCCAGTGGCTAACGTTGGCCCGTCTGCGGCAGCCCTCTCTTGGCAAAGCTGTGTGTGAAGTACTGTTGGCTATGATGGTGATATTTTTGTATTATTTGGCAAAATGTACATTTGATTCATGTTTGTCTGACTGTGTTTATTATTAATCCCCCACTAAATGAAAAAAGTGATTGTCAAGGGCCCCAAATGTCCTAAACCCATCGCTGTTCAGCTTTGTAAATGATTGTCATTTATACATAAGGGTTTGATGGCTGCAATGGCAATAAGTATGATTCCATTTTTTACTAGGGTCATAAATCATTTTCAGCACACATTAAAAATTATATTTAATTAGTTACATGTATATGTTTATATGCATACTCCTGCATTGTTTACTATCAGAGACAATCTAAGTCTGCAGGGTGTATGAATAGTTTTGGGATAAAATGGAACTGACTTTCCTGACAGAACAAAGAGAACCGAGGATTGATGGAAAGACTGACTAGCCTGGCCAGCACTCATTCCCAAACAATGGACAGAGTTCGCAGTCAGGAGGCGCAGCTGGAAAAAATAACCAACCTGAAGGCCTCTGCAGAGGAAAGAGAAAGAAAAGCAAAAGAAGAAGCCAACCTGGTTTGTCTCAATATGAATAACTTTCATAGCGATATTTGAATTCACTGCTTCTTTTTGTTACATTTTTTTTGTATATTTCTAAATGAAATTGATTTGTTTTTTTTTATTTTAACTTTAGACAATTAATCAGCTTCAAAAGCAAATAGAGGCTCTAAAGCTTGAAAAGGAAAACATGGAGAAAAAGCTTGAAGCTTCCATCAAAGAAACCAAAGGTAAAAAGGTCTTTATATAAAACTGATCGGAATTTATGTTTAAAGTTATTAAAGGTGGGTAAATATAACCAGGACTGCTAGATAATACGGGAATCGTTCAGAAAGTGTTTTTATGAATAGAAATGCAGCCATCTTTCTGATTTATCCAATTATTTATAAACTACAGCAAACAGGAGGAACTTCCATAAGTTTCTGTTACTCAGCCGGTTTAAGTACAAAAAACAACATCAGTAAGGAAGAAACAAAGGATTGGACTTATTAAGTCCGAATTCAGTTACATTACTCATTTAGATTTATTTTTTTTTAAATGTAGTTATTTTTTTTAATTTAATTTTTATCTATTTATATTATTTCTTTATATTCTTTTACAGATTGTTTTGTTTTAAATGAATTATAATTTTTTTGATACCATTTTCCTTTGCAGCTGTGTTTGGAGCTTTTAATAATTTCAAAAAAGTTGAAAAAAAAAACAATCCTCTGGACTTTGTTTCCAAATTTGAAGACGTTTCGCTTCCCATCCAGGAAGCTTTTTCAATTCAAAACGTCAGAAATAGCGCTGAGTTCAACGCTATTGAGTTTAGAGATATACGAGTTCTATTTCTGACGTTTTGAATTGAAAAAGCTTCCTGGATGGGAAGCAAAACGTCTTCAAATTTGGTAACAAAGTCCAGTGGATTGTTTTTCAACTAATTTGGAATGACTGACCTGGATGACCAGTTTTAATAATCATAATCGATTCCAGCCCTGAAAAAAAGCTGTATTTTAAAAATAAGAAATCTGTTTCCATAAGTGATGGATGCAATTTCATTTAGAAATGTTGTTCTCATAGCAGCACAGTTTTTTATATTACATTTAATCTTAAAATCTATAGATATATCTCTTTAGTGAGTGAATGTTTCATTTGAAGGTCATAAGGGGCTTTTTAGCGGGGAAGGAAAAATGGGGACAAAGCCTGACATTCAAGGTCTTTAGAAAATGTACGTATAATTTAGTGAGCTCCAGTTACGACCAGCTCTCTTACTATGATGTATTGTAAAACATAACAGCAAATAAAAATCACTCTAAAGTAAAAGTTCGTACTCCTTGCTTTTCTTGATAAAATGACATATTCTGTGAGGAATTAGTGAAAAAGTTGAGCTTTCTGACTTAGTGGCAATAAAATCTGTTTGCTATTTGCAGCTGTGCTCTGAAGTTCCAAAAGATGCACCATTACCCGTAAATAATTTCTGTAAAGTAATTTGTTTTTTTACAATAAAGTAAAATGACTCCCATACAGTGGATTGTGCAGGCACTTTGCAATGTTATTTTTCATACTCTATATATTAAGTTTTTTCTAACGTTTTTATAAACTATTGCAACCTTTCAGTTTGCATTTTTTACAGAAATAAAGGATTTGAATTGAATTTAAACAGTAACTCCTGCATGTTACTGCTGTGTTACATCTTACAGAAAGTTTTGATCAAGTGAAAATGAGCCTTCAGGAAGAGAAAGAAAATGAAGTCCGACTTAGAAAGTAAGTCTATTTAAAATTACGTTTCTTGAGCCAAGAATTTAACCGTTTGTTTTTGTGTTTAATAAAAAAAAAATCTCAAAAAAAAAAAAAGACTAAATAAATCTGCAGCAGGTCGACTGTGATTCAACTGATCACTGCTGGTTTTACTGTAGAATTGCAGAAAACAACATCGAGATCCAGAGACATGATAACGAGAAAGAGCTGGAAACTTTGAAGGAGGAGATAAAGCGATTAAAAGAGGAGAGAGTGAGTCTGAAGAGGAAGATGGAGGAGGGAGCACAGGTGAGCTCCGACCTGCAGGAACAGGTCCTTCAGCTCACCAAGCATGTGAAGGTCATCCCAGAGCTGCGCAGAGACATGAACAACCTGCAGAATCAGAGGGATAACCTGGACCGCAGGATGAAGGAACAGTCAGAGCAAACAAGAGGTTTACAGATGTTACGCTAATTTTTTTTACCTTAATCTCCTCACAGAAATAAAGTCTTTAAAAATAATTAAATATTGTTGCAGCGAAAACAAAGGAAATCATAAGACAGCTGCTTGGCGGTGTTGTTGAAGAGGAAAAAATTGGAGGGTAACTTATTTAAGTTTCAAAAGTTTCACATTTTTATAACTTTTTCAGCATTTTATTTTAACGTTTATTTTTATTTAAAGGTTTATTCCAGACGATTCTGAGAAGATTTATGAACCAGATGATTTAGAGGAAGCTTTTGAGGGTCTTCAAAAAGCGACAAGGTAAAGAATTCAACGTGAAATTGTTGCATTTCTGTCCTCTGCTTTGGTTAAACTGCTAAGATGTCATTTTAAGGTCAGGGGCAGATTTAGGAAATGTAGGGCCCTAGGCAAAGACAGGCAGGGGCCCCATTATCCAGATAGAGAAATGTTAATAGAATAGACATCCATTATCTGTTCTAGGTTGTGTCCCTCTCTTCTTGTCCCTTTTCTTCTTGTTTTCCTCTCTATGTTTTGTACTCAGCTGACTTTTCATGCTGTCTCTAAAGGAATGAA